ATATATATATATATATATATATATGTACTTAAATAATAAAAAAAGACACACACTTAAGTATATTCTTTTAAAGTGTATTATTTCCTTAAGTACCGTTTTAAAAACTATGCTAAAGTGTTTCTAAAGTGTTTCTATGGAATGCAATCAGGACTCAGGTGGAAAAAAAAAAAAAAAACTTAATAGTACTGAATGTAGTATTTCAAATATTAGAAAGTATATTTTGAAAAAAAAAAAGGCCACTTAGAGAGATCACACTTTCATGACTATATTTCTTTAAAAGTGAATTTTGTAATAAGGTCAAATTAAACATTACACTTTACTTTAAAAGTACATTTTAAATCAGGAATCTTTTAATAATCCTTCACCATGCTTTAAAGAAGTAATTATATTTTGTTGTGTTAACTTACATTCTAAAATACATGTATAGTACTTGAACTGTAGTAAGCTTTTCGATATTACGATATTAAGTTAATGTAATTATATAAACTGCAACTTACTATGCTAAAGTGTTTCTAAAGTGTTTCTATGGAATGCAATCAGGACTCAGTGGCACAAAATAATGAGCTTGATGTGACTATTTTTGCGTTAACGTACTTAGTTTAGCACCTAATTACCAATAATTTGGTGGAGTGTGTTATGTGAATCACTGAATTGGCTAGAACACAAAATGAGTCACATCCACCCAAACACTTCTCAGTGTGCACAATGTGCTTTTTCTTAGTGATTTAAAGACTGCTTGTAACAGTATACAATGCATATAACATGAATTTGTTTTTTAAAAAAAATAAAAAATACAATCATTCTAGCTTTGTTTAAATATCTCTAATGTGATAGTCTCATCTCATTTCAGCCTAATGGCAAATCACTTTTTAGACAAAGTTTGTGTTCATCATTCTAAGTGGATATCATATTAAGAGATAGCCTACCCATAGCTAAGCAATGCTAGTACATGCTGTTTTCCTGATTACAAGCGCAGCTTCAGAGGTGACAAAGTTAGTATCCTACTTCATCTGTAAGATGCTGCAATCAGTGTGTATGTTCTCAATGTTGCTTCCCCCTCACTCAAGACAGTGATTATAAAACATTAATCAGCTGCAGAGGAGAGATTTAAAATGTGATATAGACCATATAAATCAATGTGAGAACCTTCAAGCGGGGGAGGCAAATTATTGGCCTCTCTAGGAAGCCATCTGGTGCGCTTCAAACCTAGGTTGTGCAGGAATCAAAATGCATAAATGGAACGTATGTTACGCTAAATGTCACTTACATAATCTTTCAAAACAAACCGAATGTTCTAGATTTAAGATCCCTTCAAAAGCAGGTAAAATACGTTGTTAGCAGGGTAAACGGCTGCCAATTAGACAACAGAGAGTATCTTGTCATATTTCCAGTGATGTGAAGTGTTTCAACAACTTAGAGTTGGATGTGAAGTTATAATGCTGTGCACATTATATAAGAGATCGATCAAAGCATCCAGGCATCTTTGTTGGCACAGAGCCAATAAAAGGAGGCACATGTGTGACATGTGTTTTCCAATATCTCAGAGATGAATCTTAGCACCTCAAGGGCGTAACCATAACATTTCTTCATAACAGAGACATTTAGGGAATATGAGGGCACTATTACCTTGCCAGCTTGGTTTCTTCTCCCCGAGAAGTCAATATGACAGAATATTATTTCTCTTGCTGTGTTTGTGCACTGCTATGTGCCGACTACTGTAACGTGTGGGAGCATTAGAGAAAATACTGCGCTATATAGTAATTTGGTAACACTTTACAATAAGGTTTCATTTAGTAGCACTTTAGTTATTTATTATTCTTAGTTAATGTTAATTCTATGATTCACTAATACATTATTAAAATCAAAAGCTGTATAGTTAGCATTAGTTAATGCATAACTAATCAGACCGTATTGTAAAGTGTTATTGGTAATTCAAACTTAAGGTTTGATTTTGGGTAGTTAGATTTTGAGATGGAAAAATGATTCAATTAGCAAATAAAAGCATTAATTTTATATATTGAGATGCAAGGAATCTCATAATACCTTTAAATTCTGATTATTTTGACAGTCTTATAGAATAGAAAAGATCGCTAGCATGCAATGGCAGCTAGAATTTCTTGTCACAATGACAGCTTGTCCAAATGCCTTCCTCTGGCTAGATGGTCCACTGCATAGCCCTTCATTAAATGTCCGACAGCTTAATTACGGGAATTCGAATGAGATCCTTGAATTGTAGTTTGACATTTTAACTGCTTTGAAAGATCCCCCCCCACCCAACCGTGATTGTACCAGAAACCTTAGAGCTCTTGGAAGGGTCATTATAAAGGATAAAGTGGAGGATAAGCAGTGAGAAAAAATTCTACTCACGTAAATGCGCTTTTTTTCTTAGACTTTTCTCTCTTTTTTTCCCCCTAAACTATTCTCTGCATGCATTTTATGATGACCATAGCCCATAATGCAAAAATGTGAACGGAGCATAAACTCTCTTAAAGGGTTAGTTCACCCAAAAATGAAAACTCTGTCATTAATTACTCACCCTCATGTCGTTCCAAACCCGTAAGACCTCCGTTCATCTTCGGAACACAAATTAAGATATTTTTGATTCATTCTGACAGCTCTCTGACCCTCCCATAGACAGCTAGGGTACTACCACGATCAACGTCCAGAACGTAGCAAGGAGATCGGTAAAATAATCCATGTGACATCAGGGGTTCAACCGCCATTTTGGAGAGTATCCACTGAGCGCAAACAGCTTATGTTGTTCTATGTCAGCCGCACCACATGGATACGTTGTTTTCGTTCAAATCAAAGCACAAACAACGTAGAAAACGTATCCGTGTGGTGCGGCTGACACAGAACAACATACGCTGTTTGCGTTCAGTGGATACTCTCCAAAATGGCACTAGGGCAGGGGTAGGCCTGGGGAGTTCAGCTCCAACCCTGAAAAAAAAACCTCACCTGTCTATAGCCTTAGTAATCCTGAAGACATTGATTAGCTTGTTCAGGTGTGTTTGATTAGGGTTGGAGCTAAACTCTGCAGGACTGCGGCTCTCTAGTACCGAACTTGCCTATGCCTGAACTAGGGTGACGCGGAGGAGGCGAATTGTTGAATAAAGTCTTTTTTTTTTTTTTTTTTGCGCACAAAAAGTATTCTCGTAGCTTCGTAATATTACGGTTGAACCCCTGATGTCACATGGATTATTTTACCGATCTCCTTGCTACGTTTCTGGACGTTGATGGTGGTAGTACCCATGCTGTCTATGGGAAGGTCAGAGAGCTGTCAGAATGCATCAAAAATATCTTAATTTGTGTTCCGAAGATGAACAGAGGTCTTAGGGTTTGGAACGACATGAGGGTAAGTAATTAATGACAGAGTTTTCATTTTTGGGTGAACTATCCCTTTAACTTTTCAAATGTTGCATCTATGTTGCCTAATGTATCATAACAAATTTAACATTTCCTTTTCATTAATTTCATTTGAATAAAAATCAAAGTCAAATTCTTATTATAATGCAACATAGATGCATAATTTTAAAGGTTAAGAGAGTTTATGCTTAAAACAAGAACAAATGTCTGACAATGGGATCAGAAAATAAACTTTATTCAAAGAGAAAACAAGATTTTTTTTCTTACCTCATTGGGTATTTGTTCTTGTTTTAAGCATAAAGCCACTTGATTTTGATACTTTATATCTACTGTAATGCCATTTTGCTTCTCAAGTATGTGTCTTGATTTAAGAATGTTTATATATTTTACTGAAAAACAAGACAAAAAATATTGAGTAAGATTTATTTATTTGCAGTGTATATACTTGCATACTTATGCTGAAACATTAAGAAAAATACAAATTTATCACAAAAGCACAGATGATCTAAATGTTTGCAAAGATCTTGCAATTCATTCAAAATGGACAAACCTCTAGAGAAGGTATGAGTCTAATCTGAAATTACTGCTTAAGTATGTTTAGATATTTATACTAGAAGACAAGCAAAACACTGTGTAAGAAAATCTTAATAAAAAAAACTTAATAAAATAAGTTTATGGAAATGCAGCATTTTCAGAAAGCTTAATCTCTCTAAATATATGTCGTCAAGATTTGTTTGCTTCCCTAATGCCTTTGTTTTGTGCACTCTAGGACCATTGCAATTTTGAGCTTTGGCACTTTAACCAAAGCTTACTTGAAGCAAAATGTAATTGAAATGTAAATCCTGAACAAACTGCACTTCTTTTTGCCAGTCCGGCTTCTTTTTAGCCGAGCCTAATGTTGTCACTTTGATCCTCAGGCCTAATAAGACTCGGAATGGATATTAGCAATGATTTCACCCGTCAAACATGGCCTCCCTTAGAGAGTTTCAACCCATCTCCAATGGCCTCCAGGTGCTTGCAGTCAGACTTGACAAATGGTGTTGCTGGGCCGTGCATCAGCAAGCCTAGGGCTAACTGACTTATCACCCTGCTATCCCAAACTATTACTTTTAGGGACACTTGGCCTATCTACAGGCCTTACTCACATTTTACCTTTCACATCTGTGAAGTTGAAGTGACTTGAGTGTCAACAACATATTAACGGTGTAACAGATGATTTCTTGTGAGGCTGACATGTCTTGTAGCGCAACATTCAGCATGTCATTGCACTGTAAACAATCATTTTTCAAAGTTGTAAATAAAATAAGAATAAACTATTTCAGTCTTTCTACTTAAAAATGTCATGTTTAATCCAATGTTTTACCATTTCTTTGTAATTGTTTGTAAAAGTTCCTAGCCATTTCTGAATGTCAGTCGTTTCTACACCACATTTTCAGTTATCAATGATAATGTTCCCATTCAGAGTAATCCACCTTTTCTGTCTTTTTTATTTTATACGGCATGATGCACATTTCTTTAATGTGCAATAATGTAAAATACTGCCTAGTACTGTACAGTAAAAAGTGAGAACAATTCAAACTGCCATCACTGTAATGCTTCACTGCTAATACATTAATTAATTTATTTTATTCATAAATAAAATGTTTGAAACTTGCATTTAACAATTTGCTGATTTCTGATCTGATTTGTCTACACAGAGTATTTAATTTTAGTGTTTTTTTATTTTTTTTGCTTTGCATAGTTTCAGCTTTGTTTCCAATAATGATAATAATAATTAATAATGTAAATGGTACATTATAATTTAAACAGGGATATAATACATATAATGTTATAAACAACATAAATTCCTGCAAAGCACTTGATCACATAAAAACTGTTGGAAATGTGTGCGGGGGGGATCATAATTTTGGGACATGTTTGTGCGCATAATTCTGTATGTATTTGCCTCAATTTTAGATGTCGATGCTAAATTTCAAACTAAGGAAATAGAATGGCCCTTAGCCAAATCTTCATACTTTTCTTATCAGTAAACTGGAATGTGTAACCGTGCCGTTCACATGATCTACTGTATGACGCACTACTGACTGCTATTTGGCACATTTCCTAGTCCTATTGAGCAAAAGAAGTCAATTTGAATAAACAATTTCGCAGTTTGAGATTTTCCAGTCTAACAAACACACGCATTGGGCCTGACAGCAACAACCTGCCTGCACAACAGAGATGTCAGAGGCAAACTTAGGTTTTTCATCATCCCTTTAGAACAAAATCTGTTTTAGTTTACTTTTTGGATAGTATGTATTGCTCTGGTGTTACTACTGTGTTTATTCAGGGATCAATTTCTCTTCACTTTGATCATCCTTTTGGTGATAACCTTTTTCTGCATATGATTTTAAAGATTTATTCTCTTTAAACAGCCAAAATTTTGACTCTGTTTTCACAGAACTGGGTAAGGTTACTATAGACAAACCAATTCAGCCTCAGGTGAAAATAAATGATTGTAGTCTTAGACACAGAAGCAAGCCTCCCTTGCATAACAAAGAATGCAGGATGACTGTATGTCGCGTGACTTAACCAGTCACAATGTTCTTAAATGTACCTATTGTGACATTTTTCTTGAACAAAATGCATCTTAAAATGCATCTATTTTTACAAATCTTCCCATATTCTTGACAACAAAAAGAATATGTAATTATGCAGTAGTCCATATTTGTCTGTGCCATTACATGTCTACTATTGTTTATCACTAGAAGTTTTTATTTGGAAAGCACAATGTACCGCTTCTGGATTGTGCCTATATTTAATCCCCATCTTGCCTGCTGTCAAACTGAGCTTTTCCTTGTGCATTATGGATTTAATACAGAGGAAACAACTGTCTTCGAGGAGTATGCGACAGACATTCAGCATTAGCTAGTTCACTGTGGGACTGGAGTCTCTGGCTGCAATTTGCTATGGTAAAAAGAAATAGAATTCTTTGATTGGTGTAAAGGACACATGAAGGTTGTACAGAATACATCTCTCTCACTGAACTCGAGAATTAGGTGTACCAGCCATATCATCAGTCACTGTCATTTTATGTTACAATATATAAAAATAAAAAAAATAAAAAAAACTTGGATTTTCTTTACCGGAGTTTTTAAGCACGCAGATGTGATTTGAAAATATATTAAAAACATACAGGCAACAGTGTGCTTCCTTTTTTTAAGGCACGGGGGAATAGTCTAAACTAATAGAGAAAGGCACGTTGGCAAAATAATCAAAGCATTTCAATCACTCTGTGCTGTGCTAAATTGTTGGAGCTTGACATTGATTTTTCTGGTACCTTTCAGTGAGCTCACTAGAGATTTACAGCTTATATATGAATGTATCTATTGGATGTGCATACATATTAAACGCATGTATATACAGTACAGTTTGAAAATACATTACACCACACATCAAATATAAGCTAATTCTTTTTGGGAATCTGAAAAATGACAGAAGATTTAATTATCTTTATATAAACAGACTCCATTATGCACTAAATGATCTTGATATATAGTGATGGTTTAACAAATAGCTCTTTACAGTAAATAGTTGTAAATATCAGTATTTTCCATGCTTCCCAAAAAGCAATTGCTCAGCTATATCAATAATAAAGCCACTACTGTGGAAACAAGGTTATGCTTCTCAGTTGAGGTAATATGACTGAATGGAGCATGTGTACAAAGAATATTTGGGCGAGTGTGTATCCTGGAGCCTGTCTGTCTGAGCATTTGCCTGAGTTAGGGCATCTACTCCAGCAGGACAAAATCTATGGGCCATGGGCACATATCTTAAACAATCTGTCATATAGGGAGGTCATTGTCAAAACGACCAGGTCCAATAAAAACTAGTTCTGTAGTATAAACCATATTTTATTTAGCCAGTCAGAGTATACAAAATGCATTGTGGCACAGCTGATTACTTAAATTGAAGCTAAAGCATTTTTTTTCAAGTTTACGAAGTAGCAATAAGGCATTATGACCAAAAGAATAAATTATATGTGTAAATTTTTTTTTTTTAATTTAAATCTTTAAAAGAATAGTATTTACATATATGCTTGTGACGAGAGGGGCAGGGCCGAGAGCCGTGGGAACGGAGCGAGGCCGGTGGAGTAAATGCTAATGCGCGACACCTGCGCTACTCACCGGTCTCGAGTCCCACGGAGGAGCTCCGGAAGGATAAAAGGAGGAGTGACGACAGTGTTGGACGAGAGGGGACCAGGCCTGGACTTTATTTTGTGTTTTGGTTCTGTTTGTGCGCGACAGTCGTCCGCGAGGGGCTGTCGCGCTATTTTGTGTTTGTTTATTTTATTAAAGTTTTCTTTGAGCGTTCGCCGGTTCCCGCCTCCTTCTTCCCGTGACTACGAACTGTGTTACAATGCTATTGACACTTTTTCCAAGTTTTATATTTTAACAGCACTGTAACATTCGCTTCTGGCCTCAAGTACACTCAGATTCCT